GACTCCCCCGAAGGCCAACCGTCGCTGGCCGGACGGGAGTGGCGACGGGGAAAGATGGGTTGCATGGGCGGGGAGGATGTTGGTCTGGGGGAGCAACGGGACCGAGGGGGGTGGTGGGAGCTCTGGCTGGGGAGGTGATGCCTGCCTGGAGGCCGGGAAGGACGGAGGGGAGACGGTCGACGTCTCGTGCCCCACGGATGGTCTGGAAAGAGTCTGCAGTGGTGGTGGTCGTCCTGGTTGAGGGAACGGCGGTGGCCAACGGTTGGACGATGCGGTGACGGTGACCGTCTCGCTGGTGGAAGGTGGTACGTTCTGGCGGGGAGGTCAGGACGATCCGGGGAGACGGCTGGACGTCTATGGGGGTATTATGGTGACGGCCGTCTGCGGTGGTGGCGGCGGTGGTGTTGGTGGCGTCGGTCGGCGGGCCATCCTGGCCGTAGGGCAAGGGGATCTCGATGGAGGGCGGAGGAGCCTGCCGTCGGGTGGTCCCGCGCTCGTAGAAGGCGGTCCGCGAGGTGGACGAGCGGGCGTGGTCTCTGGACCTGGAGCTCGACTTGTGCGGCTTTGACCGTGAGGCCTCGGGGTCGTTGCTGGTGCCGTTGGACGCCCGTATCCGGTCGACGACGCGGATGTAGTTGTCGAGGATGGTGGCGATGACGGGGACCATGTCTGCCTCGACCACTCTGGTGCGTACGTTCTCTGAGCCACGGACGCCGATGTTGACCACGCACTGGAAGGCGAGGTTCCACTTCCACATCTCCATGAGGTCCTTGCTCCGGCCCGCCTTGAGGATGCATACCAGCTGCTCGATTCCACCGTCGACGGTGAGGATGTCACGGATGCGGTCTGAAGAGGTGGTGAGGTAGGCGAGATGGTTGAGCGAGTTGATGAGCGGCAGGGTGGAGGTGCAGTCGAGGGCACGTCTATCGTAGAGGGTGGTGGTGATGTTCACAGCCGCCTTGTTGACGCTGGGGATGCTGAAGTTGACTTCTCTCATGGTGTCTATTAATGTCTTCTAGCTTCTTCTTCCTGTGCCAGCACGGTGGATGAACGGTGGATGAACGACGGTGGATGAACGACGGTGGATGAACGACGGTGGGTGTGTTAAAAGGTCAAGCGGCAAGAGAAGACTTTTGAAACACAAGCGGATGAGGCTAATGCAGAGCCAGGGCAAGGGACATTATATATCAACACCCAACGCAAGCGACCGGAAGTACCCAAAAAAGAAAGGGGAGAATATTCCCTCCGTATAGACGGTAGGATTAATCGAGAATGATCGTGTGTGGTTTTTTGCTTTGGAGTGGTAGTCCGCCAGCGAACGGCAAACGTCGAGCCCTGCGGATTGTCGAACTGTTACGGGGACGACGGTGTCTAGAGTATACAGTGTCTAGAGTATACGGCGTCTAGAGTATACGGCGTCTAGAGTATACAGTGTCTAGAGTATACAGTGTCTAGAGAAGGGTATACAGGTCCAGACTTGTCCTCTCCCATCGATCGAGGAAAACGAGCGGGCCGGAAAAACTGGACGCAAGGGCATACGCCAGGTGACGTGAGGTGGCGAGGCGGCGTCAAGAGGAAGAGAAGGGAGGAGAGCGAGAGTGTTGAGCGAGACGAGGAAGACGAGGAGAAAGAAGGCGAGGAAGAGAAGGCGAGGAAGAAGACGAGGAAGAAGTTGGAGAGGAAGAAGTTGGAGATGTCGAAGGTCGAAGGTTGAAGGTCGAAGGTCGAAGGTCGAAAGAGAAGAAAGAGAAGAAAGAGAAAAACCCAAAAGGGGAAAAGCAGGAAAGTCGCTTCAGGTATTTTTTGGCGGTGAAAACAGCAAAAGTGACTTTGGGGTACTTGCTTAGTAAGGGTGGCGTCACGTGGTGCCCCTGAAGGTGGAAGTGGAAGTGGAAGTGGAAGAAGTGGAAGTGGGAGAAGTACAGGGAGAGAGAGAGTGAGGAAGTACAGGGAGGGAGTGCAAAGAGTGCAAAGCAAAGGCTTCCCTCACTGCCGTAAAAAGCCAGAGGATGGCTTAGTCAGGTCTTCTCTTCTCTCTTCTCTTACCATTACTCTTCTACTTCTCTTCTACTGCTATCTTCTCTTCTCTTACTCTTCTACTACTACTCTCTTCTACTTCTCTTCTACTACTATCTTCTCTTCTCTTCTCTTCTCTTCTACTACTACTCTCTTCTCTTCTACTTCCACTTCCACCATCTTACTCTCTTACCCTCTTCTCTTCTACCATTATTCTTGTGGTCGGTCGTAATGGTAATACAGAAAGTGGCGTATCTCGGTGTGTTATAGCGAGGGTAACGGCGTATCGTCGTATCGTAGTAACGTCTTGGCGTCTTTCTCTCTTTCTTCCTCGCTTTCTTCTTCTTTTTCTTCCACTTCTTCCTCCATCGTTGAGCTTCACGTCTTGGTCTATCGAAGGCAGACACAGATACACGGCTACACAGAGAGACAGAGAGACACAGACAGACAGACACAGACAGACACAGACAGACACAGACAGACAGACGCCCCGGAATTGACCGACAGTGTCGCTTCGTCCGTGGTTGAGCAGCAGATTCACCGGCGACTGCTTGCCTCGTCCCCATCACTCACACGCTCTCCCTCCTCTCCCAACATGGCCGACTCAAGCGAGCAGATGCAGGCCAAGATCGTCGCCGCCAGACGCGAGGCCGAGGTGCTCAAGGACCGCATCAGACACCGCAGAGACGACCTCGCGGACACCACCCGTCAGTTCTCTCTCTCTCCCTGCCGTATCCTATGTGACATGCTAACGGATCGATAGTCCGCCAGGTGGCCCAGAACAACACCGACCCCCTCCCGAGAATCGGGATGCGCCCGCGCCGCAACCTCAAGGGACATCTCGCCAAAATCTACGCCATGCACTGGTCCACGGACCGCCGCCATCTCGTCTCCGCCTCCCAGGACGGCAAGCTCATCATCTGGGACGCCTACACGACGAACAAGGTCCACGCCATCCCCTGCGCTCTCTGGGTCATGACTGCGCTAC